TTATTCTATTCGATTCCCCTGACATCTATTTGTCTTAATTCCAAAATAATACTCTCAACCTTTTTTTTTTTTTCTTTTCTTTTTGAGAAGTCAGCTTTCAATTAATCCAGAATGCTGAACTTGTGACTTTGCAGATGGCAGTGCAGTTAGTGACTGATGTATCTTCATAGGCATGAGATAGTGGCTCGCAGGGGAGATCAAAAGGAAACTGAGATGCAAGAAAAAGCTGCTGTTATTAGCTGTCAGTGGATTAGCTTACTGTATCTGCAGCAAGTTCCTTGTGGTTGCAGGAAATCATCTCTTAGTATGAGAGAGCACTCCTGTTCCAAGTATCTGCTAGAGAGCATCAGCAGGAACATTAAGAAACAGGTTAAAAATAAACAAACAAAAAAATCCAAACTACTTCATGCTCTTAAGTCTTTGGTTGTGCTGTCAACAGTGAACTGGCTCTGGAAATTTTCTCTTGGATGCATCATTCTGTCTGAGAAAGTAGTCCACAGCATCTGAGGGAATCCTACAGCTGGTAAAAAGGAATTTGTTTCTCTGGTATCTGTGCAGCTGTGCCTACTTGTGCCTGTTGAAAGTCATGCTTTTTAAGTTGATCTGTCATATGAACCTGACAGCAAAAATGTGTTGCTGAGGATTTCATGCGCTTGCTGGCCACTAATGAATGCAGCGGCAGTGAAGCACCCAAGCTGAGCAGGCTGCGATCTGCTTTCAGCAACCTTCACAGCATCATCGCCTCTCCAAGCTGCTGTCAAGCTGCCAGGACACAAAACTGCCAATTACTGAGCAGTTCCTGTCTTCTTCAGGTGCTATTCAAGGCTTGGGAGATTCCAGCTCCACTTTTATCTGAATACTGGCAGCCTGCCATGCATTTGTATGAGCTTGACTGCAAAGGTCAGAGCAATTTCATGCTTCTCGCTGAGAGCCGAGGTGTTGTCAGAGATGTGCTCTTGCACAAGAGATTGGATCTTTTGGTAGGCTTATTTTGAAGCCCCATGATTGCAGAGCAGCTACACTGCAGCCATTGAAAATACTGAATGTTCAAAACATGTAAGGCAAGAAGACACAGGTGCACCAGAAAATGTCCAGTGGAGAGCAACCAAGAGGATGAAGAGTCTGGAGCATCTCTCATGTGAGAAGAGGCTGAAAGAGCTGGGCCTGTTCAGAGGAGGAGGCTTATGGGGATCTTAATGTATACAAACACCTGAAGGGAGAACGCAATGAAGATGGAGACAGAACTCTTCTCAACAGTTCCCAGTGCCAGGTACCGGAGGCAATGGGCACAAACTGGACATGGGCCTGGGCACACTGCTCTGGAAGTTGCAGCATGAGCAGAGGTTGGAGCAGATGGGCAGAGATGTCTCTAGCAACCTCATTCCTTCTGCAAGTCTGTAAAGCACTAACTAGGAACACGTGGCTCCTTATTTCTTATCTAGGCAAGGACTAGCACAAAGGGAGATGTTTGTGTGTTCATCTGAATGCAAGGGTTGTACCAGGATGGCAGCATTCTTGCCAGTACAAGTGGGAAGAAGCCATTATCAGCACACTCATGCATACGCTGCTGAACTTATCAGCTACAAAGGGAAAGCCCTTCTGGTCTCTCTGTTCTCTTTCTCTGATGAGAAGGATATGGCATTGTATCCCAAAAGCCACTGCTGGGGTGAGATTGCCTGAAAGGCTCCCTGTCTACATTGGTTGTTAAAGGCAAGTACACTTGAGCTTCAAGTAAAGTATATTGACATTTGTTGATGTGTACAATTTGTCCCCAGATTTTTCAGTCTCTAACCATCCTGTGAACAGTAAGAAAGCTGGACAAGCCACCTGTTTGTACAAAGAGAAACAAAAAATACAATTTGTTTCTAATAATTCCCTTCATGAGGAGCACAAGATGGGAGCAGCTTTTTGGCTGTTTCAGGTCATCGGACGAGCCATAATCTGCATGTTTTATGCTTCTGCACGATCTCCTGGCCACCTGTGTCATGTCCATCTGGGCACGAAGTCTACTGATATGGCTATACGGATAACTTTTTTTTTCAGGAAGTGATGTAATGAACAAATCTTTGCAGTTTGCAGTTACATGACAAATGCCATCCATTCTACATGAAGTCCCTCTGTTGACCATTATCATAGCAGTGTCATTTACTTCTTATTACTTCTAAGGCATTTTGGGAGATTCATGTAGAATAAATGTAAATGTGTCGTGGCAATGATGGTGTATGAATATTCAGAGACAATCCTTGTCCCTCTATGATTATATCTGAGCATTTCAAGTGTATTCAGCTTAAAGCTGCACAGTGCTTTTCTGTGAATAGTAAATTTGCTGAAGAATGAAGCTTTAGAATAACCACATCTATTTTCCATGTGAAGTGATTGTTGTTAGCCAGCTGTAAATGGAAAAGGATGTGGTAAAACTGGCTTCCAGGATTGACAAGGCTGTATGTGTATTCCTCTCCACCACTGCGAAGGCAGCTGAAGCTGTGTACTCGAGTTCCTTGTACTGTGAAAGGAAGTTTGAGCCCCTCCCAGGGGGGTGCCTCACATTGAGAAGAGTGCAATATGCTTAAAGCCTGTTCTACCTTTCATAAGCTATTAGAGAATTTTTAGGATAGGGTCTGAAGGCTCCAACGCATAGGTGAATATTGAATATTGAGATTATTTTCCCCCTCAGTGACTGAGTTTTCTGATGAAAATGGAAGAACTTTCTTAGGTTGGACCCAACTCCTATACCTGGCAGGTTGTCCTGCTGCTCTTCAGGGAGAGAATAGCAAAGCTGTTTGGGGGAACACTTACTTACAGGTGTGAGAAGTCTCATAGGTGGTATGTAGGACAGTGAATTTCTGCCAGGGTACATTGGCCTTTGCTGGCCCTCTACATCCAACTGTGTCTGTTCTTTCTACAGAAAAGAATGCCAAATGCAATGTTATGAAATTATTGTTTTGCTTCATATGTTCAAGTTGGATAAATTTCTTGCTTGGATGACACAGGCTTTGTCTCCATTACTTACTCCACACAGAAAGACCAGATCTGCACAGTCAAACAGTGATGAAGAACCATGCAGATCTCAGGGGTTTTGCTTTGGAACAGCTTTACTTTAATCCCACCAGGACATGTTGAAAGAAACTTGTGGCAAATCAGCAGACCAAATATTGAATTTTGAAAGTGTCAGCAAAGTCTTTTAAATTAGTACTAACATTTTCTTCTACCAGAAGAAAGACTCCAAAGAATCTGACGTGTTCATGAGATACTTCTATGTTGCTGAAGTTTGATTTTTTGTTGGCAGTTGTATCAGATGAAATTTTAGCTGATGCTTCTTGAGGTTTTCTGACATCCTATTCAAACCCATATATCTTGCTGTGTGTGTGATTTTTACCAAAGGGGTTTTCATATCAAATGAACTCAGAGCATATAAAAAAGGTGCTCTTATACCTATCTCTCTACCTGTGCCAAAGAAAGGAAAATGTCCACTGCCAGTGTCTCAGTTTTCTTGTTCTGACTCTGCTGTGTGATTATGAAATCGGTTGTGATACATACACATGTCTCAGCCACAAGAAACTGAGAAAGAGGAGGCAGTAACAAGATGAGAAAGTCATTCAAGAGCTGAGAAAAAAATTAGGGATCATGTTTGGGAGAACATCCCAGCTGCTAAGCAGGAGGCGCCGGTAAGGCTTGTGCAGAAGTTACATGGATTCTCCTTGCCTACTTGCTACTGGTGCTCTGAAGGCTGCAGCGACTCTGGAAAGGGAGCAGATAATCAAAGGTGAATCACAGTGATTTTCTCATGCTCAGGTGATACTCAGAAGTATCACCTCGTACAGCCCACAGTCCAGAACAATAAGTTTTCCTGCTTCTTAACAAGTTTGTTTTTTAAGTATTGGATTTTACTAGTCACTCTGGCTGACATCTCTGTCACTTGCACCCAATGGAGCATATTCAGGAAACTTTATTGTTTTTCTGCTATGTGCTTTGTGTAGTGTTAAACATCACTGAGGGTGCTGGTATGTGTGAACTGCCTACAGCTTCCTGCCAGATGTCTCATTCATCTTGGCATGCCAAAAGTACATGGGAAGGAGAGGTTATATTCTTGCTAAAGTGCTGTTTTTGAAGTAGTATTCAAGTCTAAATTCAAGGATGATGTAGATATCAGTTAATCAAGAATAATGTAGAATCAGCTATTGGCTACTTAAAGAAGTTGTAACCTGATATAGATTTTGTAGCAAGAGTTAAATAAAACTATAAAAGCAGAGAAATAACGTGGATCTATACACTGCCTTCCCCAACTAGTCTCTCTTCTAACTTGCACATTACAAATATTAACTGCTTTTAAACCTATTCGCTGTGTAACTCCTACCTTCTTAAACATCGTCCCTGAGTGTCACTTGGTGCCTGCTGCTATATTTTTGTGGTGCCACTTATCCTAAAGAATTCTCTGAGATTTTTCTCAAGTTGAGAATAAATGGCTATGGTATCATAATCTAATGGAAATATAAATCTCTATGCGGACATAATAAAAGCAAATCTTACAAGTCTTAAAATTTTTATAAGGCCAGAATTTCTATTTGATTATTGCTTAGTATTGCTTGTTCAACATGTAACTTGGATTCTTTTTTAGTACACCTTTAGGAAATAAGAACAACAACACAGACTTCAAAATCTAATTTAAAGATTTCTATGCCTGAAAATGTAAAGAAAAATGTCACTAAAGTGATCAATTTTCGGAAAAATTATTAGTGTTCATGAAGGGTTTGTGAGGAGATGAAATCAGAAACATTTTATGCTTTGGAGCTAGCAGGATACCAGATGGTTTTTAACTGTCTGTTCAGGTTCACTGTTTTAGAAGAGACACTCAGAAATTTGTCAGGAATTTCTCTAGGCTCTGGAAAGGTGTGCAGATCAGTTGCAAATCCGTGTGTGAGTAACAGCTTGTAGGTGGATTTTGAAATGAGTAGAAAAATGTTTGTATGATGACCAACAGACTTTTCTCTCTCATTTTACAGATTCCAGAATCTGCTTTGGTCTCGAAAAGCATTTGTGGACAGCGTGAAGGTGTATAATCACAGTTACATCTATATGCCGGCCTTCTCAATGAAGACAGGGACGGGCCCCTCCCTGCGTGTCTATTACACCCTGAAGGACTTCGGTGCCAAGCAGGCGGTGCTTTTCGCCAACCCCAATTTCCTGCGTGACATTGGCAAGTTCTGGAAGAGCAAAGGTATCCATGCCAAACGACTTTCCACAGGACTTTTCCTAGTCAGTGCTGCCCTTGGTCTCTGTGAAGAAGTAACGATTTATGGCTTCTGGCCGTTCTCAGTGGACCTGCATGGGAAGTTTATTAGCCACCATTACTATGACAATGTCTTGCCCGATTCCGGATTCCATGCCATGCCGGAGGAATTTCTACAGCTCTGGTTCCTTCATAAAAGTGGTGTACTGAGAATGCAGCTAGAACAGTGTGAGGACCCTTTAACCCAGTCTTCTGCCTAAGGATCGTAGCAGTCGGTTTGGGAGATCCACTAGTTTTTAATTTCCTTGCTCTCCTACAGAGAGTTCTGATCTTCTGTTGATTCTTTTTAAAGGGAAAATAATCATGGATCTGCATGGACCGTAAAAATGCTGCTTGAAAGCCAAATGGAATATGTCCTTAATGTATGTTCTATGGAACTGCGGTGGGGGAAACAAACCTCTCCATCAAGTCCATTCAGCAGTAATGTGAAAATAATGTCAGAAGCAACTCAAATGAACTTTCTGGGTGACGTTTTTAAATGATGTAAGAAGGGCATTAAGGCTCAGAGAGAAATGGGGCCACCCACAAGCTTTTGCTGACAGTGCCAAATATGACTGTCTGTTCAAAGATCCATTTCATTCCAGATTGGCGCCTCATGTAACTCTTTTTTTTTTGGTTGTTTTTCCTTCCCTTGTGAGTGTGCTTGTGTGTAGTGGTAAGGGGTATAGAGGAAAGTGTGTGTATTGTTAACTTTCTTTGTTTCTTTTTTTCCATTTTTTGTTTTCCAATGGAAGAAAGGTGGAAGGTGTGAAAGCCTGAGGAGCTGAGTACCATCAACTCCTAAGACTTGTGAATGTGAAGGGCACTAAGAATCTGGTAGAAGAATGTATTGGGAATGCCCTGCTACTGAATATAGATGAACCTACCTGTTGTAGGTTTTGTCAGGATAGTTTGGTCATTGCACTTATATCCATATTAATGCTACCTTATGGGCAACAGCTGGTTAAGGTAAATTGGCTTGAAGATAAAAGTTGTGGTACAAAAACAAAAGTGAAGTGCAACCAGGTATTAACTGACCAGCTGCAAGATTTCTGTAGTGACTTTGGTAGCAGGGATTGCTCCTTACTTGTTGTGCTGTTTTGCCTTTGGGATTAGTTCCGTGTTCATTTGGACTCCACATGTTCAGTGACTATCAAGGGGATTTGAGGTGTTCAGTGAAATGCAAGATAAGATTCTTCATGTGCTTCTAACAGAAAAACTGCAGAAATGAATGTAAGTGTCATTTAAAATCAGTTGAAACTTTGAAAATCCTTTCTCTTTGTGCTACTAGCTCCTCTTTTCGGATTGTAACATTAGCCTTAAAGACTTGTACTTCTGTTGCAAGATTGTCTCTGGTTGAAGAGAGCCTGAAAAGTAAAACAGCCTTTGGGAGCACTGAAAAACAATATAGCCAGCGAGAAAAAAAATGAAACAAAGCAAACAAACAAAAAAAACCACCGGAAAAGGCAGGCACTTACGTAATGCAGCCTTTCTCTTTGCAATCAGAGAATTATGTAAGCGTGCAAATTGCACTGCGGCTGCTCCGGTCAGTGCAGTGCCTAAAGGACTGTTTTATTTTTGGATATTACTTGGACAGCAGATGATCCTATTGCCATGTAAATGAGAAATCTTTTTGTTTGCTTTGTTCTAACACTGTAGGACAGGAAGAAAATACTTACTTGGTCCAGAGTGCAATTTCAGCTGCAAGATGCTATCACTGTTAACTTTATAATCCAAAATAATGTTCTCTTTCTTCTACTTCTATCGTTAGTAGCTGAAATTCTAGTCAAAATGTTGAAACAACAAAACTGTCGTCAGGTTTCCACAACAATTTCCTGTGCTACCTGTTTTAGCTCCAAAGTGCTAGTATTTTGGGGAATGTGTCCTATCATATGTTGGCAACCGCTCTCTTTGTAGACTACAAGCTGCAAGTTATATAGATATAATTAAAAAAAAAAAAAAGCAACACCCCTGGCTCTTCTTTAAATATGAATAATTCGACTATCTATGTAGGACATTGAAAAAAAGCCTTATTTTGCTTTTTAAAAATATGTTTTGGAATAAAATCTTCTTCCTAAATATGGGTATTCCAAATATGCATTTGGGTATTGTTCCTTAGGATTACAGTGTAGCTCTAAATTGCAAAGGGGAGATTTGGATTAAATGCTGTTTTAGAGATTGTTCTGATAAAATCTGAATGTGCTTCTGTAACCCATTTTATCTCTGTCCATATGCTTTTTTTGAAGTACAATCAACACATCAATAGACCATCACTGATAATTCATTCACTTGGATTATATTTTATCTATGATATGGATACTCAGTAAGGAAGGATTTTCTTTACTGCTCATTAGGACAAATTTTTACTGAGCTGCCTTTTGTAGAAAACAGGTGCCTGTATGGGTTTTATGAGATGTATGAAGTTTTGCACTTTTTAGTTCTTAAAAGAAGATGCTATCTGTGAGAACAGCAGTCAAAATATTGTGTGTTAAGATGACACTTCAGAAGGATGCCACCATTTCCCAGGGGTGTGGGGAAATTAGGAGAGTAGGGGAGAACTGCCTCTGTGCTTGTTATTTTTGTCATTTGTACCAGGACTTGAGAATTCAGTTCTGAACTTCTCTGGCGACTCTCCGACACCCTGGAAATCCCTTCTCTCATGTCCTGGGGAAAAGATCTCAGTAAAAGAAGAGAAAAAATGAGTATTTTCATAGGAAACCTCAATGCAGTATTTCATAACAACTGGCTTGCTTGTGTTCAGTTAGTGCCCCATGTACCTAGGAGCATTGTATTCTCCGCAAGGCTGAAGCTGACTGAATCTTGTCTTTGTGTGCCCCTTTTGATGTTTGCAATCCTGAGGTTTGCAGGGAGATGGTTTTCAAAAAATGATGGGGATTGAAGAAAATATGTTGTTTGTGATAAGTGTGGCTAATGTTGGAAAAATTGGTAGTTTGGGCTCTGTTCATATCTACTTATAGAGAATATAACTGCATCTTACAATGGCAACCACATTTGATAGGGAAGTAAAGGCTTTGGGGATAAATAATTTTCTATAACTTCCAGAAAACTAGTAGCTTAGGAAAGGAGAGAAACAAAAATAAGTTCCTCTTTTGAGAAGGCAAGTCTACAATGGGAGCTCAACAGAAACCTGTTTTAGTTGGCTGACTTGGCACTTCACACAGGCACACTGGCCAAGAAGAAAGTTTTTGCCCTACAAGTGAAAAAGGATGCAGGAGGGTTCTGTAAGTATTTTGTGGCAAGAGCAGTCACGGAGAAAATGAAAATCTGTTGGGAATCTGAGAATGGCAACTGCCTAACAAGAATCTTGGAGTTAATACACTCCATTATTTCTGCTACTTAGTGTGAGATTTACCTGGTACTAGTCTAGGGGAAGTGGGACCCATGTATTGGGATTCTTGGTATGAAATGTGGAGTTACGTGTAAGGGTTTGAAGTTGTATCACTTTTGAAGAGGAAGGCTACACCAGGGAATAGGTGTGGTCACATCCAGGACTTAAGCATTAACACAGAAATCAGCTTCTCGGAGTTAGCAAACTGTGGGAGGAATGAATATATCCATCTGCATTTAGCTGGGTGGTTAATTTCTGTCTATTGACAGTAGTGTCCTGAGATTTCATTGCTTTAGTAGAAGTGAATAGAAATCTTAAGGTCTTTTAATGAAATTCCTTACTTTAGTTTTTCTATTTCCTCTGCCAGCCCCTGAGTTTCTCCAGTATTGAGGTTAATGCCTGCACCAGGTTGAAAGCTACTGCAATTCATCTTCACTAAAAGCTAGTTCAGGCTTGCCAAATGATTTGTTCATGTTCTTAGTTATTAATTTTTTCATAGAGCTGCCAAGATACAAAAATGCTGGAATCATTGCTCTATAGAGGGTGCCACCTGATTATAAACAGAACGATCAAATCCCCTCATAGGAGTTGTGCATGGAAGATATTTGGCACTGAAATCAGTTTAGGTATAATCTTTTCGGGTGCTTAAGTGTTTCTAGGGAGACTAAGGCCAATGTATGAACTTCTGCTAAAACTGTATAAAATTCCTCCTTTCTGTTGGTTATGAATCTTTTGAAGCTCATTCTAAAGCAAGCAATTGAAAGAGAAGCTGGCAAATTAAAATCATAAGAGTATATGTGCTCATGAGAATAAAAACATTTTTTAATTTGATACAGACCTTGCCATAATTCTGAGGACTCTCCTTCATGAATGCTGTGCTTCATGTTTTTGTTGATACGAAGATTATCATTTGGAATGAACTAGCTGCAGAAGTCAAAGATCAAAGCCTCTGTTACAGCTTAATCTTTATAGAATGTAGAAATATTGGCTTTTTTATCAACCTCAATACACTCACCTTTTTGTTAGCTTCATCAGAATGATGTCACAGCATACGCTGCTGAGTTTGCATCTCTTCGGAAGCTGAAGCTATAAGCAAGGCATCTGCTGTTTTAAACTGAATCTCTGAACCGTGGTAGTTGCACAAAACACTTCCTTCATGCATATTCATGAAAACTAGTTTAAAATCTGGTTCACCCTATCCTGAAATTGACAGTGAGAACAGAAGTGAGGAAGTGTGCAATCTAGAAGTGGGGATGATGAAGGAGAAAAATGCTAACTCACCTTTTGCTACCTGCTTTGGTTCTCCATCTCGATAGATTAATAAGCATTGGACCAAGTCCAGACTGTACAAAGGACAGGCATTTTCCAGAATGCTGGATGATGATGGAAAAGATGAAGATCAAATCAGTGGTGTAATAAATTGGACTGTAGAAATTCTAGATAAAGATTGCCCATTCCAAGCAACCGCAGGACATTTTCTTCTGACAATGACTGAAAAACAGACTATCGTCTGTGACATAAGGTTTTCTGCAGGATGGCAGCAAAGCAGAATGTGATGGCAGATGTTGCCAAGAGGCAGTGAACTGATTAAACAGAAGTACAGCAGAACAAAGAGAGGTGATGAAAAATCCATCTTTCCCTTCTCTACTTCCATTCACTCAGAAACAAAAGTATAACAGACTTACTGGCTATTGTCCTAAGTCACCACCTCCTTATTGAAAGGATACTGTGGGATTTAGTCATGGGTTATTAGAGTTGGGGTAGTATTGTTAAGTTGTGGTTGAACTTGATGATCTTTTAGGTCTTTTCCAACGGGGGCTATTCTGTGATTCTATCTGTTAGCTGATGTTTCCTACTAACAAAAAGTCAGCAGACCTTGTCTGGAAGTGGCTGGTCCTCTGCATCCTGGCTGTCCGAAGGGTGCTCTGGGGACTCTCCTCTATGCTGGGACATCCCTAATGAGATCTGCTCCTAGTATCACACAGTCCCTCCACTTGGGATCATCTGGGCCTTTTTTTTATGCCCAAGAAGTCAACATAAAGTCATCTCTTTGCCATCTTCCTGATGATCATCCTCCTTGGGTTTTGAAGGGTGATTTTAAAAATCAGCCATTAAGTAGATAATGCACTTTGTAATTTTCAACCATATTTTCTTCAAAAGTAACTGATAAAACCAAGAAGAATTAGCTGTAAGTTGAAAACATGACTTCACTTAGGAACTGATAATTCAATCACTGGAGAACAAAAAGAGCATGGCAGAAGGCTGTGCTTTTCATAATGATTGTTGTAGAATAACTTCTAGTTCCTCAAATTCCCAGATTTCATCACTTGGAATCTATCAGGTGCTTGACTTCTTGGTGGTTTTTGAATGAAACAATTACTGAATGATCTAGTGGCCTGCTAATTAAATACTAGGAAACTCATTTTCCTGAAGGAAATACAAATAACCAATAGGAGGTTCAGCCCGGTATCCCTACCTGATATTTCTTTCGCAGCAACAAGAAGTTAAACAGTTAGTTATTCCTCTCTGATTATTCAGGATGAGCCCTGGTGTATTCAGAGCCCTGGTGTATTCAGCCTCTTTAGCTTAATGCACATACTTAAAATGAATGTCACCATATATGTCATCCCTGGTTCACACATACAACACTGCAGAGCAGGCCTGAGATATGGCAAGGTTATCACTTTCTTCCTTCACAGCCAGAATGCTGGGCTTTCCGAAAACAGTGGCAGACAATCTATTGCTTTGGAGACCAACCCGCTTCTCACCCCAAAGCAATTTTGATTGCTGGCAAGTCTCAGTAGTACCTATTAAAACTGCATCTTAAAATGATCTCCACCTACTCTATGCTGTGGTTGCGTTGGTCAACTGTTAAGATAAATATTTATCCCATCTTGGTCCTTCTAAGGCAAGCAACATTCAAATCACCTTGAATTTGCTGTGTTATTTAGTATTTTCACCTTTCAAGTTCAACCTTTTTTTTCTTTTAGTCTAGACATGGTTATATCATGAGTCAACCCAAAGGCAGCATAAGAAAACGTCACCACAAATAGTTGTGAGAAAGGATCTCAATTTTTGTTAAAATAGATACACCAGTAACTGAAGAAGCAATTCTCAAGTTATTCAGTGTTTGTAGATTTTACTCGAGTCTGTGCTTCTACAAAGCTTCCAATTTTAGGCTACTTTCATTTTTGTCAAAATGAAATAAATAAAAAATCCAACCAAACTGAGAACATCGGTTTAGATCTTCTGGAGTCTGTCTGTTACTGTTTCTGTACAGACATTTAGGGGTGGCATCTGAAGAATCAGACAAAGATCAGAAGGAGATAAGGAAAGTAACACAGTTTTTTGATAGAGGAAAAGGAGATACCTACATTTCGATGCTTTGCTGAAGTTATACAGATGTAAGTTCTTTGCTCTCTTGCTTCTCAGCTCCTCAGTTCTTGTGGTACTGGGGAAAAATCTGCCAAGTCCACAGGTTGTTTCAATCCTCCCTTGCACTGTGTGAGTATGATGAACTTTCTTCTTGGTATTCAATGTGGAAATATGGAAACACAACACAGGAACATAGAGCACTCCAGTTTTATTAAAGCTGAATGTGACCAAGCTTGCATGCAGTATTTCATGTCTTTCCAGTGTTAATTACTGCATCAACTCTAAAGTACAGCAGAGACTTTCTTATTTCTCATGCCACTTATAGGATGTTTGATGTCTTTCTTCCTGCTGTGAATGCTCTCTTGGGTGAATAGAGACTTACTTAGCTTGCTCACTGAGAGAGAGGTGCTGTGAGAGTTGGTTACCTCACATTTGGAAAGTAAGGGTAGAGATTTAATAAATTGCAAAGCTTTATCTCTTTTCAACAGCTAAGGCAAACAAGTAAATATACATATTTGTTTGACTGAATTTATGCATCCAGGTTAAAACCCACCCTCATGGTTAGCAAGTACACAAAGGACATTCCCTTCAGATAATGCATAGCTTGCAGAAAGCTCAAACTCATAAATTTTAATGAGAATAATAAGTTTTCTTCTGTCTGCCCAAATCTCCAACTTATAAACCAAATTCTCTGCTCTCTTCTACCATTCTGACTCTGGACAAATCAATAGAATTGCAGAGATTTTAATCAGCTGCCTGTTCTCAAACCTGAGGGAATTCATCCTGCGAAAATTTTAAATTGAGCTGTTTCAAAGCAAATCCAGGCAATGCTGCCTACTTACAGGGACCTATTCTGTAAGCTACTGGATTTTTCCCCACAAGTGAAGATCATGGATGTTTTCTGCTGTACTTTGCTGCTGTGAGGCCAATATCTTTCTGCATTTCAAACATCTGCCGCACTGAGGTATCATGATCTGAAATCAAATCATGACTTAGGTCCTATATGAGGAATTGTTGCAGCAAGTTGCAGAGAAGTGATTCATGTACTGCACTATCTGCCAAGTAGATTTTGTGAGGTGGATGAAAATGAAAAAAAGATTTTTCTGCAATGTGAAGCTTCTTCACTGACTGCCTGTATCTGAGAATTGGATGTTCTCAAGTGATTTATCCTCCGTGATGGATCTGAAGACTGTTAATGTTTCCAGTCATTGTCAAATCATTTTTTCAGACTTTAATAATGCAATGAGATGATCTTTCCCCCCCTGCTATTCAAATGCAATTTTTCTTTTCTGATAATTCTTGAAGGGAAAATTTTTTCTACTGGCAATTTATATCAAAGGCTCAGCGCTGGTCTAAGATATCAGTTGTCTTAAAATGTTGAAATGGTGGTTCTTCTGTTTTCTCGCTGTGTAGTGCACTCTTTCCATAACTCTGTATATGATGACTGACAACAAATTACTTTTCCTTTCAAACATTAAAACTCTGAAAATTCTTCTGGCTTTTGTGGAACACCTTCTGACTGCAGGTGTCCACGTATTAGACTTCCTGCAGCCAAATCTTGAATCTTTGCATTCATCTTTGTTAACTCAAACCAGCCATCAATAACATACAAATTCATTTCCAAAATAGCTTTCAATGTAAAATGAGGAACCTTTAACAAATGCTCATGATTATGACCTGCTACCACTGAGGTGAAATAATATTTTTTGTTTTCATTGCATTCAATATTTTTTATTTTCACTGAAGTTACTATCTCAGATGAGGTATAAACAGCTGAAGTACGTATATCCGGTTGTCTTCATGGTTTCTCTACATTCTTTCTTTTCCATTGACCTTCCTTATTTTTTGTTTGTTTGTTTGCATCTCTGTGACCGTTTTGCAGATTCTCATAGAATCATAGAATGGTTTGGGTTGGGAGGGTCCTCAAGGATCAAGTTCCAGCCCACCCGCCACAGGCAGGGCAGGGCTGCCAGTAGGTCAAGTAGCAGATCAGATTGCCCAGGGCTTTTAACACCACCTGCCTTTTATCTAGCTTTTAACACCACCAGGGTTGGGGCATCCACAGCCTCTCTGGGCAACTTGTGTGTATCATGTACATAATGTAATGCATCCTATCTCTAAGTAAGTAGAACACCCATCTGAAGTGTATCCTTTTAGAGAGAACTTTGGCTTTTTTTCACCTGGGAATTAGCATATGCCTTCTGTGCATCCAATATCAAAATCAGTACTAAGTGTGATGTACAGCAATTGCACTTTGTAAGGTTTCTGTTCCTCTGGAGTCTTACCAGCAGTCTGAATTTTAAATGAAGAGGATTTTGCACTCTTCTTGAGTGTTCTGGTCCGAAAGCACTGATTCTGGTGTTAGTGTCTCAGCTCTCTTAGAAGCAGAAGCAATGTCAAGTGCTGTAGTAACCTGATAGCAGTGCTGCCCTTCTTCCTATGTTATGGAAAGGAAAGTGGTGCAAAGCATTTTCATGCCATATTTTAGCCCTTTACAGGTTACCTTCCTTTAAAATTATTATTATTATTATTATTAATGAACTCAAGGACTCAAGGACAAAAATAGATATCAAAAAATAGATGAAATTCTGTCCTTACATGTAAATTTCAAGACTCCTAAGCCGCTGTATTTCCTATGCACACAACTCATCCTGCTTTAACATGTGATACTGCAGGTTCCATCTGGCTGTCTCTGAAAGCTCAAGAGAAAAGCAAACACAGATATGAAGGAAATTAAAGGTGCCTCACTGTGATATTTTTATAGAGTGGTATGTTGCTTTGATAATGAACTGTGAAACATAGCATGCAGATGCAGATGAATGTAAATGACTGCATGTGTTTTTCTTTTAATGTTGAGTCCATGAGGTGGATTGTTAGTATAAGCTCTGTATTGTAGAAACACTGAAAAGAGAAGTGACGTGGAAAGAAGATACTTCTAGCGATTTGTAGTGAACCACATCTTCTACCTGTTTTTTCATGACCAACCTCTGATTCTGGTAAATGTAAGCCTTACAGGTTTGATGGTAATAAACAAGCTTACAAGTGGAGTAGCTCTCTTCCTAAAGTCCAGTATGCCTCCTTCCAGCACCATAAGGGGGTATCTGTCTGCATTTCCATCAGATCAGACCTATTTCCAGGCTTGGGTTGGCAAGGCTGTGTTGGTGGGGTATCAGTGTGACTCACACTTAGTGTGTGTTTCCTGCCCACTTATTTCAGTTATCTGTTGGTTGCCACTCTGATAAAGAAGTGACTGTGGTTTGGCGTGTAGCTGCAAGGTTCCTGCCCTCACCTTCCTGTCACTCCATCTGTGCACTTCAGACCTTCTGCTCTGTATCTGACCCCACTTGTGGGTCTGGCTCTGGGGGCAGCCTGCTTGTCAGGGCAAGCCTTCCTCTGGGTGGGGTGCTCAGGCAAAGTAATGCTTACAGCAATGGAGAAATAGGAACGAATTTGAAATACCACACATGTATTTTTGGTAGGAGCTCAGTGGTTGAAACAAGCTGACCTGGGATCAGTCTGTGGTTTGTAGTAATGCTGGCATACAGGAGCACAGGCAAGACAGATGCACGGTGTCTCTTGGCTTCTAGGGACTGGGCGATTTTGGGAGATTTTGTCTCACACAAGACTGATGTCAGCTGGTGATGGCATCATTTCACAAAGAGCAATGGGATGTGGGACTTTAGTGTTAGATGGTGAATTTTGCCCTTGTGTTATGCTAGTAATTTGATTTGCATCTTTCCTATCTTGACAAGTTTATAGAAAAAAAAGTGATGATAATGTGGTAGTTCAGTGTCTTGAGATGGTTTTAAAGTGGATAAGCAAATCATTATGCCTCTGAGGTCATGTAATTCTGTGGATTTGTCTTACCTCCAGTGACTGACATGTAATATTAATCATTTGAGGTCTATGTAAACTTTACATGCTGGAAGTTGTGTCAAAATGGCACGAGCACTTGGCTGAACATCTGAATCACGATCATTCTGGCATGCTCAGGGGCAGAGGTACTTGTGTAGAGTGTTTTAAACATCGCAAAGTGTGTTGTTGTTTAGCGTATTGTGGTTAGGGCTTCAGTCTAATTGTCCCCAACGTAGCAAATGTTCGCTGATGGCTGACACTGTTACAAGGACTGAAGGGTTGACTTTCTTTGCCTGGCAATAACGTATTTTCTATTATGTCCAGAGTCTGTTCATTTTCAAGTAGCGCTCTGTGCTCCTTTGAAGAATGTCTTTTTTTTTTTCCAAGTGGTTTCATCGTGTATGTAGCCCCAAATGTCTTTCAATAGCAAAGATCGTTTTGTTATTGAGTGTATTATTTATTAATAGTACATTGTTGTCACTTCCTAGTCACATTTTACAGAATATACCATTAGCATCTCATGTGATTTTTTATAAGGGAAGTCTTATTTATAATATTCATGCACATGGACAGAAACAAATCTCAATTTTATAGCAGTCCATGCCTTTTTTCATAGCTGAAGCATTTTGATGAACACAACTGGAAGGGACAGGCTCACTGTTTTGATTTTGATGGAACTTTACATAGGTAACTGTTATGTTATTTATAATTTGGTTTTACTGATCTTAACAAATAAATATCTCCACTTTATGAAATGAAAATATTACTTGTGGGCCTTCTTTTTTTACATCATTTCCCCATTATGTAATTCAGTATGTCCGAATAATGAAAGCTAATTCCTCTTCCATTTTTGTCCTGCATGGTCTTTTGTCACATCAAGGTTTACATACATTGTCCTCATCTGATATTACTATGCCCATCTTCCTGTTTACTCAGATCCTTCTCTTTCTAGCTTATTTGGTGAGACAACTTTATTTGTAGAATGTTTGAGAATTTATTGGGAGTTAAACTTGAATCTTTTTTACCTTCCCAGTACACTGACAAAAATGACTTTGAGTGTATCTAGAAGTTCCAAGGAGATACAACCTCTTTGTTGAAGAGATTCCCACTCTGCATTCAAACTAGTTGAACCCCCTTGCTTGGAATGGGTGTTTCTA